CCTGAACCCTAAACCCTACAGCCCTAGACGCACTCAGGGTCCTCTCGACTCCGAAGATGCCTCAGTGCGCCTGAAACCCGACAGCCCAAGACAAGGGCACCCGACAGCCGCAATGGAAGAGCCCAGGGTCTGAATAAATTGCAACATCTACTCTTTCGGTTCCTAAAAAAAGGGTTTAGGGTTTAGGGAACCTTAGTCTAAGTCTAAAGCTCCCCCCAAAACCACATGCATTCCAAGCCAAGTCGAGTGAATCAACTCAAAACACCCGCAAAGCGGAGTGGTGCCTGGAACTTCGACCTCACCGATGTAGCATTGATCCTGCACCGTGGCAGGATGAGGCGAAGGGCCGTCCAGGTCCTAAAAATGCCCAGAAGGGTTCCAAATCTGCCGAAGATGGACACCATGAACGTTAGCTTTCCCCAACCCCAGTAGGAAGTGGAATCGTTTGGCTGTGCACGTGAGAACCATAGGCTTAAAAGAGGCAGGCAGAAGCATGCACGTCAAGACTCTCGAAAGCATTGATTAAGCATGTCTTTGTACTCTCCGCGCACCGCCAACTGCAAAGGCTCCCGTATGCAAAGTGTCGAGGGTTCAGGGTTTAGGATTCTTGATTACTAGTATTCCTCAAGAGACACCCCAAATACAAAAGCACCAATCCGAAGAAGCCGCGTGTACACTCACCAAAGCCCCACTTCATGTACACAGTGAACCCAACCGGGCTTCAGCATATAAACCCACACTACAGGTATTCCAGAACCTTACACCCCAAACCCTAAACCAACCCGGCTTCGGGGTCCTGGCAATCCTCCAAGGGGAAGGGCCCATCTACCACCGGCCGGCAGCCCTGTGTATCGTAGCCTTGAATGCAGGTTCTGTTTCGGGTCTGCTCATCCTGCTCCCCCTTACTTCTCCTCCTTCTGCTGCTACCCCTACTGCAATCCCTACTGCCACTACCACTGCCACCACCCCTCACCGCCGCCAGTGTGACTGCTGTCCCACTCCCACTCGCACTGCTAGTCATACTGCTGGTCGGCTGGACGAAGTCTTGCACCACCTGTAGGTGCTTACGTTAAACGATTGAGGCATCAAGTCCAGCTCGGACTACTTGAGCGGTGCAAGATTTCGGCCATTTTAACAAAGCCGGCTCGTGGCCTTCCAATGTTAACTTGGCTGACCTCTGACCCCTCCTAAAAGTTAAACCTTTGGGTTACTTAGTACAGTTCATATAGAAACCCAAAACATCAAAGTCCTAAGAGCCAACCAGAAGAACGCCAATTTCAAAAGGGGCACGCAGAATTACCAAAAGACGTTTACGCAAAGTGGTGCAAGATTTTGTCCTTATTTGCACTGCTGCTGCTGCTGCTGCTGCTGCTGCTGCTGCTGCTGCTGCTGCTGCTGCTCCTCCTCCTCCTCCTCCTCCTACTACTACTACTACTACTACTACTACTCCTTCTACTACTACTACTACTACTACTACTACTACTACTACTGCTGCGGAAGACAATTACGGTGGCGACGACGAAGACTCAGAAGTACTCAACACGAGATCTGGGTGGTATATTTATGTCCTAACTACATAAGGACTTTACGGATTACATTAACTACTTGCTACCCCCAACCCCAACTATAAACCCGAAGCTAAGGGATCAAAACAACCACGAAGATCGTGCTTCCAAGGTGCAGTAATAGCCGCCTGCACCGGTCTGCCACTCCACTGGGCCTCAATGGGAGCTAGGGTTTAAGGTTTAGGTTTTCGGGGCTTAGGGTTTCGAGTTTAGGGTTCAAGGTTGAGGGTTTCCGATTTAGGGTTTGAGGACTTCGCCCAACTACTACGAGTCAGAGCATATCCCCAAAGGATCTGTTCAGAGATCTCCAACCCTCCAGCAGTTTGAGGGCTTGGGGGCTAGGCTTTAGGATGGAGGGTTTCACGCACACCCAGCTGCCGTGGGGGTTTAGGGGTTCAGGGCTCGTGGCTTTGTAAGGGTTAAGAAGGGATACAACGTGTTCGTAAATTCAAGAGAGTGGGCAAAAGACTTGGGATCAAGCTTTGCGGTTTAAGGTTTGAGGTTTCGGGTTAGGGTTAGGACTTTACTGGATACGGCCTAAGATTTGGCGTACGGTTTTTAAGGCAGGAAGCACACAAACCAAGAAAGAGTGGTAGTAATAGTCGCAGTAGCAGTAGCAAGAGAAGCAATAGGAGCAGAGGGGTTGCAGCGGTCTTCGGGATCACCCTGTGCATTTCACGGCCTTGGCAGCACCTCTAGGGTTAAAGATTGGAGGTCCTAAACCCCAAACCCTGAACTCTCAAATCTACGGGTTTATCCTGTGGCACTCTGAAGTCTGAAGGGTGAAGCAGAGATTATGGGGGACACAGCAGGCTTCTCGTGAAGGGCTGCGGGAGATTCGAAGCCTGGAGGTTGAACCAGGCTAGGGGTTTTGCTGAGGCAAAGAAGGGGGGCTCCGGGTTTAGGGTTCAGGGAACCCTAACCCAAAAAACCCTAAGGTGGCCTTTGGGAAATAGCTCGAGGTGCCGTCGAGAGCTCCACCGAGAATTTTCCGCCGCGGGCCGGCAGTGCAGCAGAATTTCAAGACACAGACATGACAAGCTTCCGTATCGAGAAATCATCATCAACATTAGCCCATTCATGATTTCATGCTCATACCGCAGATTTTGGCGTATGATCCTAAACCATCTCTTACTTATATATATTTAAGGTTTAATTAGCAGCATGGTCTGTCGTTTTCCTTCCGGCTTGGAATCAAAATGACCATCCTAATGTCGTTTTAAGGGCCGGGCCGCGTCAAAATGACCAACCTAATGTCGTTTTAAGGGCCGGGCCCGGTCAAAATGACCAACCCTAATGTCGTTTTAAGGGCCGGGCCCAGCCCAGCCCAGCCCAGAGGTCAAAATGACCAACCTAATGTCGTTTTACGGGCCGGGCCCGGTCAAAATGACCAACCCAATGTCGTTTTAAGGGCCGGGCCCGGTCAAAAAGACCAACCTAATGTCGTTTTAAGGGCCGGCCCCGGTCAAAATGACCATCCTAATGTCGTTTTAAGGGCCGGGCCCAGCCCAGCCCAGAGGTCAAAATGACCAACCCAATGTCGTTTTAAGGGCGGGGCCCGGTCAAAATGACCATCCTAATGTCGTTTTAAGGGCCGGGCCCAGCCCAGCCCAGAGGTCAAAATGACCAACCCAATGTCGTTTTAAGGGCGGGGCCCGGTCAAAATGACCAACCTAATGTCGTTTTAAGGGCCGGGCCCAGCCCAGCCCAGCCCAGCCCAGCCCAGCCCAGCCCAGCCCAGCCCAGCCCAGGTCAGCCCAGCCC